AGTGCTCACTCCGAGCTTCACACAGTGCTGAGTGCTCACTCCGAGCTTCACACAGTGCTGAGTGCTCACTCCGAGCTTCACACAGTGCTGAGTGCTCACTCCTAGTTTCACACAGTGCTGAGTGCTCACTCCTAGTTTCACACAGTGCTGAGTGCTCACTCCTAACTTCACACAGTGCTGAGTGCTCACACCCAGCGTTACACAGTGCTTAATGCTCGCACCTAGCTTCACACAGTGCTAAGGGCTCACAGCTAGCTTCACACAGTGCTGAGTGCACACACCTAGCTTCACACAGTGCTGAGTGCTCACTCCTAGCTTCACACAGTGCTGAGTGCTCACTCCTAGCTTCACACAGTGCTGAGTGCTCACACCTAGCTTCACACAGTGCTGAGTGCTCACACCTAGCTTCACACAGTGCTGAGTGCACACACCTAGCTTCACACAGCACTGAGTGCTCACTCCTAGCTTCACACAGTGCTGAGTGCTCACACCTAGCTTCACACAGTGCTGAGTGCTCACACCTAGCTTCACACAGCGCTGAGTGCTCACATCTAGCTTCACACAGCGCTGAGTGCTCACTCCTAGCTTCACACAGTGCTGAGTGCTCACACCTAGCTTCACACAGTGCTGAGTGCTCACTCCTAGCTTCACACAGTGCTGAATGCTCACTTCTAGCCTCACACAGTGCTGAGTGCTCACTCCAAGCTTTACACAGCGCTGAGGGCTCACACCTAGCTTCACAGAATGCTGAGTGCTCACACCTAGCTTCACACAGTGCTGACTGCTCACATCTAGCTTCACACAATGCTGAGTGCTCACTCCTAGCTTCACACAGTGCTGAGTGCTCACTCCTAGCTTCACACAGTGCTGAGTGTTCACACCTAGCTTCACACAATCCTGAGTGTTCACATCTAGCTTCACACAGTGATAAGTGCTCACTCCTAGCTTCACACAGCGCTGAGTGCTCACTCCTAGCTTCACACAGCGCTGAGTGCTCACTCCTAGCTTCACACAGTGCTGAGTGCTCACTCCTAGCTTCACACAATCCTGAGTGCTCACATCTAGCTTCACACAGTGCTGAGTGTTCACACCGAGCTTCACACAGCGCTGAGTGCTCACTCCAAGCTTCACACAGTGCTGAGTGCTCACTCCTAGCTTCACACAGTGCTGCGTGCTCACTCCTAACTTCACACAATGCTGAGTGCTCACACCTAGCTTCACAGAATGCTGAGTGTTCACATCTAGCTTCACACAGTGATAAGTGCTCACTCCTAGCTTCACACAGCGCTGAGTGCTCACTCCTAGCTTCACACAGTGCTGAGTGCTCACACCTAGCTTCACACAGTGCTGAGTGCTCACTCCTAGCTTCACACAGTGCTGAATGCTCACTTCTAGCCTCACACAGTGCTGAGTGCTCACTCCAAGCTTTACACAGCGCTGAGGGCTCACACCTAGCTTCACAGAATGCTGAGTGCTCACACCTAGCTTCACACAGTGCTGACTGCTCACATCTAGCTTCACACAATGCTGAGTGCTCACTCCTAGCTTCACACAGTGCTGAGTGCTCACTCCTAGCTTCACACAGTGCTGAGTGTTCACACCTAGCTTCACACAATCCTGAGTGTTCACATCTAGCTTCACACAGTGATAAGTGCTCACTCCTAGCTTCACACAGCGCTGAGTGCTCACTCCTAGCTTCACACAGCGCTGAGTGCTCACTCCTAGCTTCACACAGCGCTGAGTGCTCACTCCTAGCTTCACACAGCGCTGAGTGCTCACACCTGGGGGCTTCATTGACAGCGTGCTGAGTGCTCACACCGAGCTTCACACAGCGCTGAGTGTGCTCACATCTAGCTTCACACAGTGCTGAGTGCTCACTCCTAGCTTCACACAGTGCTGAGTGCTCACACCTAGCTTCACACAGTGCTGAGTGCTCCAGCTCACACCTAGCTTCACACAGTGCTGAGTGCTCACTCCAAGCTTACACAGTGCTGAGGCTCACACCTAGCTTCACACAGTGCTGAGTGCTCACACCTAGCTTCACACAGTGCTGAGTGCTCACACCTAGCTTCACACAGTGCTGAGTGCTCACTCCTAGCTTCACACAGTGCTGAGTGCTCACTCCTAGCTTCACACAGTGCTGAGTGTTCACACCTAGCTTCACACAATCCTGAGTGTTCACATCTAGCTTCACACAGTGCTCACTCCTAGCTTCACACAGCGCTGAGTGCTCACTCCTAGCTTCACACAGCGCTGAGTGCTCACATCTAGCTTCACACAGCGCTGAGTGCTCACTCCTAGCTTCACACAGTGCTGAGTGCTCACTCCGAGCTTCACACAGCGCTGAGTGCTCACACCGAGCTTCACACAGTTCTGAGTGCTCACTCCTAGCTTCACACAATGCTGTGTGCTCACTCCTAGCTTCACACAATGCTGAGTGCTCACTCCTAGCTTCACACAATGCTGAGTGCTCACTCCTAGCTTTATATATGGCATGCCATAGTTATTGTTGATGCTGTAGGTACCACCTACACAGACCTTTGTCATTCCCCTTGCAGAGTTCTGTTTTCTTAGTGCCAATTTCTGTCATTCTGTTCTTTAAGAAGGAGTCAATGTATTATTGACACTGATGTAACTGTCTTCATTCACCAGTAAACGGGTCTATGGAACTTATTGATTTTCTGTTTTAGTGACGGAGCTGGAAGGACAGGAACATACATTCTCATAGACATGGTACTCAACCGGATGGCTAAAGGTGAGAATGGAGCTACATCATCAAGTAAATAACAGGAACTGCTGTTGGAGTGCAGAGAGCACAGACAGACATTATTAGCATGGCTGGCTAGATGGCATATCAATTCAGGTGTCATACTGTCAGCTTAATCCCATGTATGGCTGGCCAGTCCCAAGGCCAGGTCCTAACCAGTGACCGTGAGAAATAACACACACCCAGAGAGTTAGGGCAAATCCGATGGTTCCAATGTGCCCATACTGTTCCAAAAAGGATTAGCAAATGTTTCTTGATAAAGACCCAGAAAGATTGAAGTCTTTGCACTTAAGTGAGTTTGGCTGGACAAACTGACTTTTCAAATTCCATCATTGTGTCTGGGGAAACGAGTTACTGAACATGACTATAGTAAGAAACATTTTGTGAACATTCACATATTGCCCACAATGCCTGAATTATCACTGAATGAATTTTTCGACAGTATCTTCATTAATTTCTCATAGTTTAGGACTAGGACCAGCAGGACATTAATCCTGATTGATATGGGTTTCACTGACCCTGGTCTGTACATAGTGCTGTCTCCATGGTTACTGAATGCTATGTTTACAGGTGTAAAGGAGATCGATATTGCTGCATCCCTAGAACACGTCCGTGACCAGAGACCTGGAATGGTCCGAACCAAGGTACAGAACTGTGATGTATTTGCATTTTCATACCATAACTATTACTCTAAACAGGTCTACCTAAATCAGGTCTACTCGCTGACCAGCTTCTATAAAATGTATTGATTAGAAACGGGCAGAAGGTAGATCCATTTAGCCCAATAGTAATCGGAAGGCTGGAAATTTTTTTGCAGGAGTTATTCTATAATAACTGCGTTTCACTTTTAAAACTTAACCCTGTTACTGAAATCCTCCATAATAGTTTCAGGGTACTGCTTGGTGTTCCATACAGGGAATTGGTAACTAAATGACAGGCTAGAGAGCTAACTAACCGCTTGCTGAATTTATCTGCCCTGTGTTATAATTAATGGATCTGTAGCCACTGGCAGCTCTCAATCTGCTGCCGAACTATAACTCCTAATATCTGACATGCTAATCAGGAATTTTATTACATAATCCTACTTTTAATAAACAAAAAAAAGAAAATATTTTTTACCTTTACCTTTTACCACTTTTAACCAGATTGTGGGTAGAAAATATATTATCTGTTTAACATTCCATGCTAAGTTCTACTCGAGAAAGAAGTATGTAAAACTTGGGACTAAACTGTGAATCTCGGGACCACTGGCAGGTGTTCATATTAAAATCAGATGTAAATCAATAATTTCCTACATTTCTACTGCTCGTGCATCTCCTGCTGTCTGACTCACAACCATCTAGTGTAAAATCTGTTTCTGACATCGTTCCTCTCTCTGCTCACAGGACCAGTTTGAATTTGCGCTCACAGCGGTGGCAGAAGAGGTCAATGCTATTCTTAAAGCTCTACCACAATAAGAAGGAGGTGCCACCATCCCGCTGTCCCATTTGGTGTTGTGATATTGCGCCTGTCGTACAGGGATGGCAGCTTCACCCGCCCTGAAATAACCCATTTAGTGTACTCTCTGCTCCTTGTGCAAGGGACAATTCATACATGACCAAATCTTATGCCTTGACCGCTCCAAGCTTTTGCCCCCTGGAACCACCTGCACCCATCCCATTATCTGTGCTACCTCATACCTTGGATGCTCGCAGTGGGCGGACGCTAGTTAGAGAGGGAGGTGTACTAAATAGTGAAATGCACAGGCAAATATATTGAGAGTTTCAGTAGCATGTCATGTCAGCATAAAATAAAAGGTTTTCATCAAAATACCACCTCTTCACCTTTTTACTCCTTAGTAAATATTTCCTATATGTTTTTAGTAGCAAAGTGGTTCTGTGTCTCTGAACGTCTGCTTCACATGCACTGATACAATAACACTTTCTCTGATTGGAATTACAGAACGTTTTCTGTGTATGCAGGAGTAAATTGCACCTTTTATATGTAATATGTGGATTATTAAAATTTAGGAAAGATAATCTGTAAATATTACATTAATCAGTTTCTTCTCAGGCAGTGAAATGCATAGGAATGCTGATTCAAATCTTGATGTGGGATCCTTTGGATAGGAATCTGTTGTGCAACACAAATAACTACAACATTAAATGGATTCTATAGTGTTAGGAATACAACATTGTATTCTTAACACTATAAAGCCCTCTGCCCCCCAGCAGCTAAAGAGTTAAAAAACAAACAACCTTTAGTCATTTACGACATTTCAGCACCAATTTCCCTCATTGCTACATCAGTGCTCCACCTCCTCCGACGTCATCTGATGGGGCGGGGGAGGGGCAATGCACATTTTTATTAACGCTTGATGTCCTCATGCAGAGTGCGAGGTCGTCCAGTGTCAGGCGACCAAAATGTCCATTGGCAACCAGGAAGTGCCTCTAGTGGCTGTCTGATTGATAGCCACTAGCGGCAGTCTTAGTCCTGCAATGTAATTATTGCAGTTTCTCAAAAACTGTTCTGTTAAAAAGAAATCTTTGTTCCCAGGGAGCATTTTAGCTAACCTTCGACACAGTAGCTGTTGTGGACCACAGTTCCCATGACTTCTGTGGTCACATGGAAATGTTGCTAAACTAAGCAGTGATATTGTCAATTTATGTATTTCCCTGCTCCCCTATAACATGAAGCAGCATTACAGGGATTGTAAGCTGTTAGAGGACAATTCCCATATACCTCTGAGAGACAAATATACAACTACGGTTCATAGGAGATGTAGTCCACCAACAACTGTGCAACCTGGATTGGACTATCCATGCCCATTCTACTATCCAGCCCTGAAAAAAAGTGCCATTTTTTCCTGTGAAATTAAGGATTTTAGAAATTCTATTTTTTGATAAGGCTATTTGCATGGAGTTCCCCTTTGTGGAATCCGACATCATTTTGCTGCTACTGTTACTTAAGGTGCAGTTGTTACTCCGAGCCAGCCCGATCCACGCTGCACAAGGTATGATGGTCCCATGTATTGTGACTTAGATCAGCTTTCACTTTATTTCTTGTTCTTAGTGACGGGAAATACTCAAAACACATTAACCTTAACACAGAGGTTGACTCGTGGGACATATTTCATTCTGATTACAAATCTTAGTGAAATAAAGCTGCATATTTATTCCTGTGTACAAATTGTATTATCTGTTGGTCATGATGGCCTTCCTAAACCCAACCCCCATAAAACATCAACCGTATTTCCTTTCTAAACAATGCTGCATTCTCTTTTAGAGGGTCACAGGGGGCCGAAAGTATGAGTATCTTATTTTATTTTTTTTAGCCTTTTTTTTTTTTCATACTGCATTGTATAAACACTATCATCGCCAAAACCAAGAGAATCATTTCTAGAAAATATAATAGACTTTAATTTTGTATCTTGATGTGAATAAAGTATCTGTGTTGGGTTGTGTAACTGCAAACAAAATGTCTTGTGTCTTGAATTTTATGCTCTGTTAATCAAGTACTCACTTAGGAGATGGTAGATCCTTGGCCATATCAACATTGCTTCAGCAGTAATAAGCAATTGGGTGTTTTAGAAAAATACGGCAAAAGCTTTAAAATTACACAATAAAAAAAAACTGAAAGCAAACCATAACTGATGAAGGAATCCTGGTCTGTCCTGGAATGTTATTAAAGGGATACTGTAAGCACCAAAACAACTTCATGGAAATCACTCACCTTCGCTGTGTTTTATTGGTGTGTATTTCAGTGTATCAGGGAAGGGTAAAATGCAGAGCCCACTGTCAGGAAGTTATCCTTATAGCAGGACAATGGGAATATGCACAAATAATGCATTTTCCAACACTGAATAAAAGCAGGGGGGAGGGAGATGACCACCAAGAAGGAGGGGGGGGGTGGCACCAATAAGAGAGGGGAGGGGGATTGTGAGAGACAGGACCACTCAAGGGGAGGGGGGTGAGAGACAGGGCCACTAAGAGGGGATAGGTGGGACCACTAAAGTGATAGGGAGGGGAGAGCACTAAGGCAGAGGGGAAGGAGAGGAGATGAGACCACTAAGGGACAGGGGAGTGAAAGAGATCATTAAGGCACAGGGGGGTAAGACAAACAGAGAGGCAGAGGAAGGGGTAAAAGTGAAGCACAGAGGGGCTAGTAGGGGAGACAGACATGCAGAGGGGCTCAGGAGAGAGAGGCACAGAGGAGCCTGGGGGGAAATGAGACACTCAAAGGGGCCTATGGGAGTAAGACATACAAAGAGGGGGGTTAAGACATAAAACTTAAAGAAAAAAAAAGATACCAAAAAAAAGTATATTAAAATAAATATAATAATAAAAATAAAGAGCTGCTCCCCTCTCAGCCCCTATCCTACCCAATAAACCCTCTCTTTCACACTACACACAATGCAACCCTTACACACACACACACACACACAGAAACACACAATGCATTCCTTACACATATGCGCTTCACTCCCTGTGAGCGAACTATGGGTGGGCCATGTAGGTGGATTTATGGGCGGGCATTGTAGGCATACTAACGGTCAGGCCCTGGGGGCCCAGACATTGAGCTGTGTAAGGGGCTCCAAAAAATGAAGCTGCTTCCTGTTCGTTGCTTTTTGTGAGCACTGTTACAAACAGCCTCCAGAAAGCCTCTTTTAACACCAGACCAGTGGAACCAGACTACAGCCTGAGCCCATCATCCTCATGTCCTCATCTGGTGATAGGTAGGCAGTCCAGTATATTATTAGTGGCACTGATCTCTAATTTACTTCACATTAAAGGGAAACTAGTCACCAGAACCACTGCAGCTTAATGAAGTGGTTCTGGTGTCTATAGCCTGTCCCTGCTGGCTTTTTAATGTAGACACACTGCCTTCTCAGAGAAAAGACACTGTGTGCAGCACTAACGTTGGCCCATATGGCAGATCATATGGGTGGGGCTTTGTGATGTCACATGGTAGCCAAAGCATAAGGGGGGGCAGCAAATTTGTGTTTGCCTAGGGAGGCAAAACTCCTTGCACCAGCCCTGATTATAGCAGATACAGGGAAGAAGGGAGTCGTAGGGAAATAAAGTGGTAAAATGGTTCTCTTTTGGGTCTAATTCTGTAACCCTTAAGACACATTTGTATTATTGATACAGATTTCACTCTTGTTCTTTTGCGATAAGACCAAAATTGTTCTAAATACATTACTCATGTGCACTAAGTGATGGACAATATCTCAGTTTTGTTGCTTCCGGATCCAATTCAGAACCTTGACATTCAGGCACAAAGTATTCTGTATATAGATTCAAAGCAAGTAGAGAGGGGTTTGGAGTGTTTTAGTTTAATGTAGTAAATCCATATTAATATGTACACCTACCCACTCAATGGGTAATACGGTCTCTTTCACGCCTAGCAACGCACTGCAGAAGATATAAATGAACATATGTCAGTCCTTCAGTAAATGTACATCAAGGCTGCAATAACTGAACATGTATTTACATTCAATAACCACCTCACTACATCGTCCATATCTATCCAACTCCTGCATGGTGGGTCCAGCCCATTGGAAATCCCAATAACTAATTACTTCCCCATATGTATATCTCCCATATTATTTAGAGTCCTAGAAAAAAATTCCAGTGCAAGAAAGGTGAAATTCAGAAATTTTGGGGATGCAAAAAGCCATCACATGCCAAATGTTTGCAAGGACAAGATGCAGTGGGTACTGAGAGAGTTTGTGCTCCACCCACTGTCCCTCAGCTCAGCGATGATAGGTATATGGGTGGGTGGGTGGGATGTGAATCCATGCTCAGAACACACCTAAAAAAGCAAAACAAGTAGGCAAAATGATTAATGAGGCCGTGTCTCTTCAAGCAAGCACAGGCAGAGCATAAGACAATACAATATTGTAAGGGGGAGGGTGGGAAAGGAGGGCGCAGAGAACAATACTGTAAGGTATTCAATAGCCTTGGGCATTTGTATTTTAATGCCCAAGCCTGGCAAAGCATCATGGGATTTGCCATCCTCCTGCAAGCAGGGAAAAACATAGAACAATGCTGCAGGACAATGTGTGAGGGAGCAGGCAGGTGACAGGCATTCGTTCATCGACCAGATGTGCCCAACAGGCTTTTTAGCCGCTACTCTAGCACAACAAGTAGAGCTGTGACTGGCAAAGCATTGTGGGCAATGTAGTTCATGACAGCTGCAGCATCCCTTACCTAACCAGAGACTGGTTTGGCAGCATTGAGCCACCTGGATTATAAAAAATGGCCAGGGCATCTCAAGCTTTTCAGCCTCAAGGTCCCAAGCTGCCTTAAGTCTCCAGGAATTCTCTTAGTGAGACACTGGGATCAAAAGCAGCACATTTACAGAGCTGTCGGAGATTAATGGACAGACAGGTTTCACTAATTTACACCCAAAATCTTCCATTTACAAAGCACTATGGAGTAGTGTAGGCAGGTGGCATGCACTCAGGTAATGCCTTTGGCGTGTGCATGTCTCTAGTTATAGATTAAGGTTAAACCATTAACAGATGTAACATCTACTCTTGGTATCATTACTCTTGTCCCCAGCCTCTCCATCAGACAGCACCTCTGTGCCCCTGCTTCCTGCCCCTGCTGGCTGGGGTTCCTGTGGCAGTCCTGCCCGCTGCTCATCTTTCTGGGTGCCAGCATGGTGCGGTCTGTGTTGCTCTGCTGCCTGCTTCTCCCCTCTCCGTACTTCTCCCCGCTTCTCCCCTGCACCCATTTCCTTTTCTGGACCTGCTTTACTTCTACATTCCACACCTGCTTGGTGCTGCCCCGCTGCCTCCATTTCTGAAAGGCTGTAAGCCATCGCAAGCTGCAGATCTTCATCTTCATCATCACTATCCATCACATAATACGCAGGAGCAGAACTCTGAGACCTCTGTACGCTGGGAGGGGACCTCCTTTGAGTAGTGCTAGAAGTTGGCATCTGGCTGTGCTCCCGTTTGCTCATCTCCAGTGCCAGAGCCAGCTCGTCTTCTACACCTGAGAAGAGAGAAAATAAAGAGAAGAGGACAGAGGGTAATCATATTGTATAAAACCATGTTCACACCATCTGCCATCAAGAGAAAAAAAAATGTTAAATGACAATATGAGCTTTTACTTCTGCTGAGATCACTATACAAAACCATAGGGTTCCTAACCATTGCCGACTCCTAAAATCACTCTCTCTCCTTTCTGGAAAACCATTCCAGCCCTCACTCACCGAAATGTAGCTCAATCCCCTGGCTTCTTTTCTCTCTGGTGCCTTAAACAGACTGGTGCAATTCTGCTGTAAAGTCCTGAAATATTGGAGTTTCTGGACAGATAGATGTTACTGGAAGACAAGTGTGTGATGGGGCAGTTGTGTTGAATTACTGCCAATAGGCTAGCAGGGAAATTTTTAGTTTGTGCTCAAACACCTGGAACATCACAGATTACGGCTCCCTGGAAGACTGTGTTCTGGGGCTCTGTTCTAAGGTGGAATAGTCGCCGTAGAAACAGAATCCTCCTGATGATAGGTAACATTTGGAATTTTGCCCTACAGTCGTTCTTTATAAATAATCTTGAATATGCTTTTCTTGCCAAGAAATAGGAAACAAAAAGTAAAAGCAAGTCCAGCCTGAAGCCTATGATATTTAGTATAAGACAAGCTTTGTTACATTAACAGTGTGGTATTTATACACTTTATTGAGGAGGAAAATGTTTTCTATATCACATGGTTACGAGAGCTAGTCTTCTCTAGCATGATCCTCCTATTCTCCCTCAATCCTGCTTTTCTTATGGTTCCTTGGCAATGACTGCTTCTTACCATTTACCCATATGGACTTCAGTTGTCCGTCTTCTTCCACCTCCAGGCGCTCAACACCGTCCTTCACCGTCCTTTGGAGGAAAAGCAGACAGTCATGAACACATAGCAAAGTGAGCATTAAAGATAAATAAATATATAGCCCAGTAGCACATGGCAAACACAAGGGAGTAAAAGGGAGAAGTCAGAGCCCAAACAGGTCATAAAAAGGAGAATATTTAGAAAGGACTCCAAAGGAACTAATTTAGGAACATTAACAATATGCAAAAACACCTTCTATACTTTCCTGGCAATAGATTTTATTTTTAGATTGTGGTTACAATTCTTTTCTCTATTTGGTAAAATACCAGAGAAACAGAGAGAGCGTTATTTGCTGACGGTTGGCAAGGCTTGTATTTTGAGACATTGAAGTCGTTAGCTAGAAAAGTTTCACATTTTTGGATTTACCCCATGGATTCAATAAACTGTGAAAAGGACCATTTGAATACATTTATCTCAAGCACTGTACAGGTATAGTCAGGTTTGCCAACCTGTGAAGGTCAGTATTTTTCACAAATAAATAAAAAAAGTTTTGTAAATACAAGATAGTAATACCAAATGCAGTTTCAATAAATGCAAGCCTTCACCATCACACATTTCACAGTTCCTACCTTTTGGTTGTTAACCGTTTGCCATTAACAATCTTTGTGCTGGTAGACACAGAGCAAAATTGTCCAGAACTCCCCAGACTGGGATTTCCAAATGATGAAAAGGAGGTGAATGCTGTGAATGGGACAGACACTGAGAGGGTTAGAGGACAATGAAGAGCGAGGGGAAATTAATAGCAGTTTAATCACTAAGAGTGAGTTATAATTACGTTTCTTCAAAAACACAGATCAAAATTGGAGAACATTTTCAGCTAATCTAAACCGATTCCCCACCCCACCCAATTCATTTGCTTTGGCCCCAGTGTTTGACAGTGATTGTCAGATTCCAGCTTAAGGAATTTGTCCCTTGAAAGAGTGAATCAGATTACCTGAGTCAGATGGAAAGGAGTGCGAGAAAAAGGAACGCTGAGCGCCATCATTGCGCATATTGGAGAATAAACCAAAGTCATCTAGCAGACGGAAAGAAACAGAGGAGGAAGGTATTGTAAATGGTAATTAACAAAAATAACGGTAAACAGAAAAAAGACAAGACAAGACATGGTACAAACGTGAACCTTTTGAAAGCATTCATTCCAGTTTCTGTGGTTTGGTTTAAAGAGGATGCCGTACAGCAATTATTATCGCAGAGAGGATTGTTCTCTAGATACTTAATGGAAAATGGTGCAAGGATCCTCCTACCATCAGTAGGGAGCAGTGGTTATGGTGCTCAAAGTAACCCTTTAAGCAGATATCTGATCAAATCTAAAATGTACTATGATTCCTTACTGAGACACTTACTGTTAGCCAAATTGCTTATATAATTGTAATACACGGTGATGGGAATCACTAAATGAAGTGAAAAACACCAAATGGCCAAACTACAGGGTTAGATAAGGGAAACTAGAATTTACAAATGGCTTAGCCCTTCTACTCACATTGTAGTCAACACTAGCGCCCTTGTCTCCACCAAGGATATTATATAAATTAAAAGTTCTATGGAACAGGGACATCATTTTGTACAACCACATATATTTGGGGAACAAGTGTGACCATCTATGGCTTCATACACACTCATAGGAAAACAAACATTGTAGCCAGGAGGACAATGTGATACAGAGTATCTTTAATGTCCTGTCTGGTTGGATTAGCCATTGAGAACCTTACCAAATAAATCAGAGAAGGGATCTCTCCCTCCAAAGAATTCCCGAAACACTTCCTCCGGGCTGCGAAATGTGAATTCAAATCCAGAAAATGCATTGTCAGAAGATGATTGGGCAGAACCTAGAGATAATGGAGGATTGGGAGAAAAAAAGATCAGTTTCTTATCCTACAGAAAGCGTGTAAAGTAAGAAGGATGAAAATGGATACTGTGATAAAATAATATAAACCTCAGAAAGGTTAAAACAGAGAGAGGATAAAGATAGGGGGTAAATCTGGCCACCTAATGAGAGGCAGGAAAATATCTGAAAAAAAAAAACAAAAAAAACCAGAAAACAGACAGGAGGAACACAATGCTCAGGAGATATGGTCAGAGATATAAACACACAGGAAATAAACTCACCTGCTCCAGAGATTCCAGATTTGCCGTAACGGTCATATGCTTCTCGTTTGTGTACTGCGGAAAGAAGGGATAACTATGTAAGGTTGATAGGTTTAAACAGGAGGAGATGTAACCGATTACTACTACAGCCATGACATTGTCAAGTCACTTTTCCATTGGCCATACGCGGTATATCATGTCTCGCACTGGCCATACGCGGTATATCCTGCCTCATACTCGCTATACGCGGTATGTCCTGCCTCATACTCGCTATACGCGGTATGCCCTGTCTCCCACTCGCTATACACGGTATATGGTGTCTCCCACTCGCTATACACGGTATGTTGTGTCTCCCACTCGCTATACACGGTATATTGTGTCTCCCACTCGCTATACACGGTATATTGTGTCTCCCACTCGCTATACACGGTATGTTGTGTCTCCCACTCGCTATACACGGTATATTGTGTCTCCCACTCGCTATACATGGTATATTGTGTCTCCCACTCGCTATACACGGTATATTGTGTCTCCCACTCGCTATACACGGTATATTGTGTCTCCCACTCGCTATACACGGTATATTGTGTCTCCCACTCGCTATACACGGTATATTGTGTCTCCCACTCGCGCAAGCATGGGGAGATTATTAGTGACTGTCTCTCCGTGGTTTTTGTACTGGATCTGGTACATTTATTTGTAATTGTTAGGAAAGGGATGACAGTTTGGATATTAGGCAATTTGGAGATACAGAGAGAGTGATTGAGATTAGTCTTTTCAGCCTTTGGGAAGGGAAGGTTGAAAGAATCACAACCACTTACCATCAGACAGAACTTCATAGGCCTCAGCTATATCTTTAAATTTTTGCTCTGCATACTCCTTATTGTCTGGGTTTTTATCAGGATGCCACTTCAAAGCTTGCTTCCGATACCTGTGACAAGGATAACGAATGACAGGTTTTGAACACAAGACGCAGCAAACATAACTTTATATATTAAATACCATGTACTTTGTCTCTCAAGCTCCCCAGTACATACAGAGGGCGCCATTTATTCAATTATAGGAGGGGGGGTCATGTATATACTGTTTTCCCCCTTCATGCCATTTCAGCCTTGATCAAATTTAGTCCAAATAACTAGGTGAACTGGCAGTTGTCCCATCCGTGCTATTTTTGCCTTTATTTTGCAACTCATTCATCAAATAATGGTTTAAAGAACAAACCTCAGTTTGCAACTCAGACAGGAACATTTAAACACATTGCCCTGCCTTCTAATAACAGTTCTGTCCGACAAATGTGAAGAAATTCACATAGTGCACTCCATAATTCCTTAACTGTACAGCTACCATTATAACTTCATAATAATATTAACTTACGCTCGTTTAATGTCATCCTGGTTGGCGTTTTGAGACACCCCGAGGATTTCATAATAATCTCCCATGATTTGATTTTCAGCAAACTCTCTGGAAGGAAAGATTAAAGAGGTAAGCACGAAAATGGCCTAGTGAACTGATTTTCATTTATTCTAGGAGTTTATGGACAGAAAACATATGCATTGGGGTTAGGAACAAAAAGGCAGGCATCCCCATCTCTTGTAGAACTGCAACCAGCATGATGGACTACCAACAGAGATGATAAAAAAAAGCATAAATTCTGCATCAGCCGAGCTGTCTACTCGACCATTCCAGCAATAAACAGAAGGAAAAAAACACCCCAAAATGTATCTTTTTTTTGCAATCTGAGGACATCTCCTGTTTTCTAAAAGCTTGCGTGAGAACAATGACATTTTCAAGAGATCAAACATAAAGCAAAGATCTTTTGTACCCTGAACAGGAGCAGTACATTATACTTTTCAGGAGCCATTGTTTTTTTGAGGGGGGGTAGCCTCACATCCCTGTCCCTTGTCTAGCAGCTGTGAATCTTTCACCAAGACATTGGACATTTGGTTCATGTGACAATATTAGGGACATTTTTAGAGACAATGACTTGAAGTCTCGTTAAGTAATGTGTACAAACTCAACAACAAAACTGAAACAGGCAATTAATATGTGCATTTTCTATTGCAAGTTGAAACATGCTAATAAAAGGTAGATGAAAAATGTAAATTTAACAAGGAAAACTGGGCTACTTTTACTGCGATATATGAAGCTATACATTGAGCTATACAAAGACTCACCGCTTTCACGACATTCTAATCCCAGAATGCTGTTTGCTACTGTGCCAGGATCCACACCCAGCACGGTATATTTTGGGAAGCATGTCTACAAACTGAGTCACACCAGTATGTGCTCTGGTTAAGAAAGCCCCATTTGGATAACTATGTATCATTCCTAAACTAGACCACATGTGATATGCTATTCTAGTTTGTCTGGAGACTATATACATAATTATGTTTTGACAGGTGCCTCTAAAATAAAGGAAGCGACTAATAATATCAGCTTCATAATAAAATAGAAACATGTCTCCCAATACTAGGATTCTCAGACAATGTCCATCTATTTTTGCCTAGATCCGGTATATTTCTCAGTTAACTTATTAATGCCAGAGAGCGGGTAACATTGCACAGCAACATGTGGCTCAGCCCGCTGGTACAGCATGCACAAAGTTTAAACAGTTCAACAACACGCATCATTTAAAGGGACACTGTAGGCACTTAATGCAGTGTTTGTGGGGCATATAGCCTGTCCATGCAGACTAAGAATTGTAAATGCTGCCCTTTTAAAGAAAAGGCAGCATTTATAATGCTGCTTAAGTCCAACTCTAGTGGCTGTCATTCCAGAGCCACCAAAATTACTTGATGAACCAGGTTGTGCAATCTTTGCAGGACCGACATTTAGTGTCTCCACATTCTGCATGGAGACACTGAACGCTCCCCGTAGAGATGCATTGATTCAATGCATCTCTATGAGGTGATGCGGATTGGTACAGACAGACGATTTGCCACGCATGGCTCCCAATTGTTCCCTATGGGGAAACATTGGATTGGCTGAGATCAGCAAGATTGGTGATCTCAGCCAGGAAAGTAGGGTGAACACAGAGAAAATCAGCTCAGCGCAGGATGAAATGCTGCTTTGTTCTCAGTAAATCTGCATTTTTTGGCCATACAGTGGGGGGACACATTTATGAATTAGCTAGTCGGACAATATAGCATTAGGAATACATGTAGTGCAGTAATGACCTCAGCTAGGCTATCTATTGTAGGTTAGAGTAAGCATTCACAGACGGTGTATACTACAGGGCTGCATACATAGGAAAGTTTGGGTTAAAACACTACCCCAAAGACATTTTAAAAGACAAGTTCATGGCAGAGGATTTAATTATACAAATAAAATCTATTGGGGATTTTTCTCCAAACGAGGAAATTACAGACAATTAAAAGGAAAAAAAACTGCAAATTGCACACCCAAAATAGACAAACTGAGCAGCCATTGTGGCCAAAATTTGCAAGTCCCCTGTCGAATCCCCATGATTCTTGATTTAATGTTAAAAATACAGACACATCAAGTGAAGACAGGGTACAAATATTATATTCATCAAGATTTAGATAATCTACCCAATATATCTGAGAAAGACTGGGGTTAAATAGCTTGAGTAAACAGTAAAGTTGCCAGCTGTCTCCTGCTGTCATATCTGTGCTGTATGAGACTGACAGAGGGTGTTATTTATTCAATGTTTACACCGTCCGAGGACAGAGGTGGAAGTTGGGGTTAGTCCTTATTGTGACCTTCCAAAACAAGTCTCACTCTTCAGAATAATTTCCTAACATTATGCATCGTTTTTGTGTTTTTTAAACACAGATCACGTTGTATCAACAAAGCGTAGAACAAATAATTGACTCTGCTACGCAGTCAGTCCAGCTCATAATAACGCAGGATGAAAGATTGTGAACTCCGAGCAAATGTTTTGGACGTCATTAGAACACACCAGCTTGGTGACACCAGGATCCAGTGCTGGTACATTTATTATTGACATTAATATCCTATTCCGCCGCATGGTCTCATGTTCAAGTGAATTACAGCAGTGGCTGACTCCAAATTATAGCAAATTAAAAACCAAAAAGGCACAATTCATAGGCCTCAATCGCGCCTTTTGAATTTTTATTTTCTACAATTTGGTTTGAATCAAATCACTTTGTTATCGTTCCCTCTAAGCATTAATAAAAAAAAAAAAATACCAAGTCCTTCACTTCATTCCTGTAATGGACATTTTCACAACTGAGAACAAAGCCATGAAACCAACTCAAATCAATTCCATTAGATTCACGTAAGCCATACAACAGAATGAGATATGTGAATTAACTGGCCCCTCAATGACTAGATCTGGTAAGGTGAATATAAAGCTGGGATTGCATTTTGTTACAAGAACAATGGCTGTCAATGTAATAATCACACGGTCATTACAGTCAAAGTCAGACAGATATGTTATAGCAGGGAGCCCGACAGCTCTGCCATGGACTACATCTCCCATAATGCTCTGAATGCTATAAGCCATTTGTGAGCTACAGAGTATGTAAATACACACACACATACACATACATAATATATGAAAAATAATTCTGCGCAGGTATAGACTTCAGATAAACTACTGTTTGTCAAAAAGATTTATAAAAATTACCTACCCTTTTAATGGAGTTTATTAATAACTGTAAACAGATTAGCCAATTTTGGTTTCAATATTAATTGTGGGACAAGTGACAGCACTGTGCTCAGATCCACTCCAGAAAGATGCAAGACTGAGGTGATGTAGCCAGCCTTGTCCGTCCTAGGCCATAATCCAGCAGGGTGTCAGCTCTTACATGTGCCAGTGTCTGAAAGAGATATGGGATTAAATGTTAGACACTGTATAATATCACCCAAAAACACATACAGAATATCTGCCTTCCACACACTACCCTGACAGTATACCCAGACCTACAGTCTAATCTCCCATTTAGATTATCTCTCTGCTGCAGTCATTTCATTCCTTGTAGAATAGCAGTGTGTGGAGTCCATCCCTCTCCCCCTGGCAGCACTGATCTCCTCCATTCTACCCTTCCAGGCTGTTACTGGGTATCCCCCTCCATTCTACCCTTCCAGGCTGTTACTGGGTACCCCCCTCCATTCTACCCTTCCAGGCTGTTACTGGGTATCACCCCCCATTCTACCCTTCCAGGCTGTTACTGGGTATCCCCCTCCTTTCTACCCTTCCAGTCTGTTACTGGGTACCCCCCTCCAATCTACCCTTCCAGGCTGTTACTGGGTATCCCCCTCCATTCTACCCTTCCAGGCTGTTACTGGGTATCCCCCTCCATTCTACCCTTCCAGGCTGTTACTGGGTATCCCCCTCCATTCTACCCTTCCAGGCTGTTACTGGGTATCCCCCTCCATTCTACCCTTCCAGGCTGTTACTGGGTACCCCCCTCCATTCTACCCTTCCAGGCTGTTACTGGGTACCCCTCCTCCATTCTACCCTTCCAGGCTGTTACTGGGTACCCCTCCTCCATTCTACCCTTCCAGGCTGTTACTGGGTACCCCTCCTCCATTCTACCCTTCCAGGCTGTTACTGGGTACCCCTCCTCCATTCTACCCTTCCAGGCTGTTACTGGGTACCCCTCCTCCATTCTACCCTTCCAGGCTGTTACTGGGTACCCCTCCTCCATTCTACCCTTCCAGGCTGTTACTGGGTACCCCTCCTCCATTCTACCCTTCCAGGCTGTTACTGGGTATCTCCTGTCGGTGGATTTATTGGAAGTATCAATGTTTGCAGAAACTATGGAGACAGCTCAATATTCTCTGTAGAAAACTTCCTTCCACTCAGCCTGCACTCAGCTCCCCATATATTGAATGCAGTGTGGGGGCTCTAGATATCAAGGGGGGCTCTAGATATCAATGCTTCTAATGTAAGGTCGGATTTCATTGGGCAGAAGCTTCTAGTTAAATAAACTGATTTAACACTTACCACCCAATAGCTAGCGATGGCCCCTTCTCTCTATGACCCTATTCTTCTTAGATGCACTCACCCCTGATGTCTCTGCAGTACCAGTCTCTCAGTGTGCCAGTCTCTCAGTGTGCCAGTCTCTCTTACTGTCTCTCAGTGTGCCAGTCTCTCTTACTGTCTCTCAGTGTGCCAGTCTCTCAGTGTGCCAGTCTCTCTTACTGTCTCTCAGTGTGCCAGTCTCTCTTACTGTCTCTCAGTGTGCCAGTCTCTCAGTGTGCCAGTCTCTCTTGCTGTCTCTCAGTGTGCCAGTCTCTCAGTGTGCCAGTACTGTCTCTCAGTGTGCCAGTCTCTCAGTGTGCCAGTCTCTCTTACTGTCTCTCAGTGTGCCAGTCTCTCAGTGTGCCAGTCTCTCTTACTGTCTCTCAGTGTGCCAGACTCTCAGTGTGCCAGACTCTCTTACTGTCTCTCAGTGTGCCAGTCTCTCTTACTGTCTCTCAGTGTGCCAGTCTCTCTTACTGTCTCTCAGTGTGCCAGTCTCTCAGTGTGCCAGTCTCTCTTGCTGTCTCTCAGTGTGCCAGTCTCTCTTACTGTCTCTCAGTGTGCCAGTCTCTCAGTGTGCCAGTCTCTCTTACTGTCTCTCAGTGTGCCAGTCTCTCTTACTGTCTCTCAGTGTGCCAGTCTCTCAGTGTGCCAGTCTCTCTTGCTGTCTCTCAGTGTGCCAGTCTCTCTTACTGTCTCTCAGTGTGCCAGTCTCTCAGTGTAGCAGTCTCTCTTACTGTCTCTCAGTGTGCCAGTCTCTCTTGCTGTCTCTCAGTGTGCCAGTCTCTCTTGCTGTCTCTCAGTGTGCCAGTTTCTCAGTGTGCCAGTCTCTCAGTGTAGCAGTCTCTCTTACTGTCTCTCAGTGTGCCAGTCTCTCTTACTGTCTCTCAGTGTGCCAGTCTCTCTTGCTGTCTCTCAGTGTGCCAGTTTCTCAGTGTGCCAGTCTCTCTTACTGTCTCTCAGTGTGCCAGTCTCTCTTGCTGTCTCTCATGGTGACAGACTTTCTTGCTGTCTCTCAGGATACCAGTCTTTCTTACTGTCTCTCAGGATACCAGTCTCTCTTGCTCAGTGTGCCAGACACTCTTGCTGTCTCTCTGGGTGACAGTCCCACTTACTGTCTCTCAGTGATGTCTAAGGGGGTCTGTCTGTGTATCAGCAGGTATTCCAGTGTATCAGTCTGTCTCTGTCCCTCAGTGACTGTCTCTCTCAGTGACTGACTGTCTCTGTCTCTCTGTGACTGACTGTCTCTGTCTCTTTCTCTCAGTGACTGACTGTCTCTGTCTCCCCCCTCCCCTCTCTCTCTCCCTCTGTTTATTAATCTGCCTCAAAGTGACGTCAGAATCAGCTGATCAGAAACGTCCAGAAACTGCCAGGCGAGTCTGTTAATACTTCAGCCAATCAGAATCTCGGCCACGCCCATTTCATCCGAGATGGAAAAAACACTTTGACAGAAGCCCCGCCCCAATGCGAAAGTGAGCTTCTGATTGGCTGACACTGGAAGCTAACCTGAGAGTGACGCCCCCTGTTCTGTCTGTGGCGTTCCTGCAGGGGGCAGTGTGCGACTTGTTACAAAGTATCAGATTATTATTATTATCAACATACCATCACCACTGACACAAACAGGGATATAATGAGAGAATAATGAATTAATTACTGGGCCTGTAATAGCCAAGCAGTGACTAGAGCTGAGCTGGACAATTCACTGGTCTGTATTCAATTTTTGTGCCTCTAATTTTGCCATTTAGATTTAATTACCTAAATGCCAGTGTTTATTGAATAACCCTGATACAGTTACAATCCCCCAATTAAAAAATAAATAAAAGTAAAATAAAACTTACCTCCATTGCTCCCCCGTGGCCATGTTTTCCTGGCAGCTCCAACCTCCTCAGCTGACGTTATTCTGGAGTGTGACGGATGCCAGAAAGGGCAGGCTGAGGAGAGGACTTGTGTGGCATGGGGAGGAGGGTATGCTGCCATTGGGTCCTGTCGCCAGTCCAATATGCACAGAATTAACTGTTGTTCTGCGCTAGTTAATGACACCCCAATGATGCTGATGGAGGTGAAGGTACACCTCCAGTGGTAGAGGAGTTAAACTATTCATGTGCAGCGTTTCATAGCAAAATGCTGCACATTCAGACTCCAAGCACCATGACTACTTCAAAACACTGTAACTTTTTGTGACGGAAGCTCACTGACTCTGGTAGAGGTTTGGAGGCCAGTCTCCTGACCATGGATTATGGGTCCATATTGTCATTGTAGGGAGGTGTATGGGTGCCCTGGACACTTATTTTGCTTCCTATTCGGAACTGGATGCCTCTGGGGATCGAATGGACTTGTCCTACCCATTGAACGCCTGACCGGGAGATATCCTGGTTCGCCCTGAAACGGTTCACCGGATCGGGACTGTGCTGTAATCAGGTGAATCTTTATTCAGTTATCACTCTGTCCTTCTACCACCAAACAGAGCCCTATTTGGAGGGGAGGTCGGGGAGGCGATAAGGCATTGGAGTGCTCCCCTCCCAAGAGCCCCAGGAACCCCTTTTGTGAAACCAGGACTAAACCGTTGCAAGCTTGGAACTCCTCACTGGATCTGAAAATAGCCTAAACCTGGTAAAACTTTAACGAACTGTAGCTCAGGCATGGATTATCTGATAGGGGTGCTATTTGGGCATATTCTCAGTGGCAAACTATCCAGAGATATATAATGTGTGGAGTGCTGTCCAGGGAAAGGCGGCTCTGGGGACATTTTGTATGTTGTGCCTCTAGGACTGTGAGTGCACAGTAGAAAATGTATTGTTTTCCCTGGGGCTAACTTAATTACGTCCCCAGACAGAGTGGCGTCAGGGAGGGACAATAGTACTGTGCATAGTATTGTATGGAGGGCCCCTTACAAGGAGAGTCAACACTTCTCTGGATAAATAAATGTGCTGTGTGCAATAAAGATCATTCTACCTCCTACATTCAGTCTCGACCAATGTGTGTGTGAAAATCTATGATCACTGCTTTACAGGAGAGAACGTCTCCAGAGTTATAACCACTGCAGGATGGTTGGGTGGAAGAGGTCCCGAATGTACAGCCATGTGGTGGCCAGGGAGATCAGAGATTTTCCCAGCCAGAAAGCCAGTAATCCACACTTGTTCCAACAATATTTTTCCCTGCAACCTATCGCAGTATATGATACCCCCCCCCACACACACACACACACACACACCTTCTCAGTGAGTCCTGACGGCAGTCCTTGTCTTCTTTCCAGATCTCCTCCATGTGGTGCTCTGTGTGAGGGGAAGATGAAGCTACATCACTTCCTGCCCGCTCCTCTCCTGCTGGGTCATTGTCCCTCGCCTCGACCTTCTCTTACTAGTGTAGCCGACATAAAATAAATATGTGTTCACAGCACCAAGGAAATCTCATTGTAGTCACTGGCTGCAGTGCACGACCCTCGCATATTCTATAAAATAAAAATGGAAACCTACAACTGTCTTTTGAGAAATGCATAGTCCATATTCTAATTTTAGTTTGTAAAAAAAAAATCTAAAATATAGATAAGTGTCAGTTATACTTTAAATTTAATTTACCTTTAAAACACTATGGCAACCAGGCATTAAATGGAATTCTGGGTCAACATTCTAAAGGAAGGGGAATTAGCAAGAGCATTCCATTGTACTACAAGCAAATATGATCCAGTTTGACTAAAGCTAGGGGTCCCTTCGGCACCCACAATCAAACCTCTGATCGCCGTATTATTAATATGCGAAAAGTAATTTGTCCATTTTGGGGAGGAAGTGGTAGGTTGAGTGTTTTTTATATTTAGACTACCCATTTAAAAACAAAATGCCCCCAGGATATATCACTAGTATGTGCAAATGAATATTATTTTGTGAGGCTAAAAAATTATTTACTACTTGCCAATGTGACGACAGCTAAAAGGGACACTAGAGGCACCCAAGTCACTTTGTCTCAATGAAGCAGTCTAGGGGCAGTAACCCTGTCATTCTAGTCTGGCTATACATAAAATTATCATTTAGTAGATATGGCAGAGGGTTAAACACACCTATAATTAGTGGCTGTCTTCTTGACAGCCACTAGAGCCACTTCTGCAATCATGACTGAGTTTGACTCGGTTATGTGACATTCGACTTCCTCACTCAGTGCTTGAAGACATTGAACATCATCAAATGCTGTCTATTTAGAATCACTGAATGCAATGCTTCCCTATGAGAAGCAGTAAAGGGACACTATAGTCACCTGAACAACTTTAGCTTAATGAAGCAGTTTTGGTGTATAGAACATGCCCCTGCAGCCTCACTGCTCAATCCTCTGCCATTTAGGAGTTAAATCCATTTGTTTATGAACCCTAGTCACACCTCCCTGCATGTGACTTGCACAGCCGTCCAGAAACACTTCCTGTAAACAGAGCCCTATTTAGGCTTTCTTTATTGCAAGTTCTGTTTAATTAAGATTTTCTTATCCCCTGCTATGTTAATAGCTTGCTAGACCCTGCAAGAGCCTCCTGTATGTGATTAAAGTTCAATTTAGAGATTGAGATACAATTATTTAAAGTAAATTACATCTGTTTGAAAGTGAAACCAGTTTTTTTTCATGCAGGCTCTGTCAATCATAGCCAGGGGAGGTGTGGCTAGGGCTGCATAAACAGAAACAAAGTGATTTAACTCCTAAATGACAGTGAATTGAGCAGTGAAATTGCAGGGGAATGATCTATACACTAAAACTGCTTTATTTAGCTGAAGTAATTTAGGTGACTATAGTGTTCCTTTAACCAGAAGCCAATGATGCAACACCTGCCTGATGACATCACGGGAGGAGAAGTGAGCGAAGGCAACGTGTCTCGGCTGTGGAAAAAAGTTAAATATAAACCTTTTTTTCCTTTTATTTTTAGATTTAAGTTTTGTGGGACCCTCTAATCTAAATAGTAAAGAGACAATAGGAATACATGTTTGGTTCTCGTCAAATTCACTGAAAAGTCCTTCCATCTAACCTTCCTGAATTATATGATACAGATTCCGTATCACAGTCAGTAAAATCTAGAATGTTCACGAATTTGCTAAAATTATTTTGATCTGACCGGTCTTTTCAAGCTTTTAAAAAATGCGCACCTGTCTCCCCTGGAGGCTCCGGTGCAGGACTAGGCCTCTCTCCCTTCTTCGAGTCAGATTACTTGCCCCTGGCTGGAAGCTTCCCTCAGCATCCTTGATCAGGCAAGTTTGGGGTCTTGTTTCCCCTGGGGTTTGTTACTATAATTTGTTTAAATGTCTACACTGTTTTTTCCATATAAAAGCTTTTTCTGCAAGTGAGATAAAAGTAAACTAGGTGAATTGGCACAGTCTGGCATTTGATGCAAAATTATATATCCCTGTATTCTCTGTACTTTACTCATGAATGTGTATGTACACCCAGGGAAATTATGCCTTTGATGGTTGTATGTATTTAAGGTTACCTTGAAAAATGGCTGCACATATAACCTAGAAAAAGGTTTGTGTATTTCACAGTGGACATCCATAAAGTAATTAAGTGGCATAAGTTGAGTGAAACGGAACAAAACGTCTCCAACAAAAAAGTGACAATGGAATGTCAATCCTTTCTGTTTATTTTTCTGTTTATGTAAAGCAAGTGTTCCTCTTTAACCTTTTACTTTGGCTAACGTCCCAGAGGTGAGATAAAACAAATTATGAAAATATTTCATATTTACCACCCACAGTAGGAACGATTCAAAGTGGGCAGCAAATCCCAGACCCAATACAATGGTTCCATTCTCAGAACTACAATAATGGTAGAGTAAATGTCACCTAAAGAATAAGGCTAATCTCTAACGTAAACAGCATAGTACGTCATATAGAATATGGGTAGGTAGATTTGTTCCTAAAATGTTTCGCTACTATAATCAGCTGGTTATTTCTAACCAGCTGCTTATAGTAGTGAGATTGTTGTTTTTAACAATGGCCCCTTCTGTCTTGTGACTACATTTCCCATAAACCTGTGGCTGGCAGAGAATTATGGCAATTATTTATTAAATAGCTGCAGATAAAGATGGATCATTCTTCCGTTTCATTGCCTGTTGCATAGTAAATATTTGTATTTTTTAATGAATTGCTGGAAAGTAAAGTGATTGGGCATTTAAAATGGTTTTCCCCTTTCACAGACCTCATTCAGCAGAAGATAGGCCTCATTCAGAAGAGGACAGACCTTAGTCAGCAGAAGATAGGCCTCATTCAGAAGAAGACAGACCTAATTCAGCAGAAAATAGGCCTCATTCAGAAGAGGACAGACTTCATTCAGCAGAGGACAGGTCTGAGATATACAAGGAGGAGAACACAATATGTCATCATGGGTTAGATTTGCCAAGACAAAAACAGCTGCTATTCTGGGAAAAAGTGCTGCATATGGAGTAATCACCATGGAACCAACAGAATGTCTCTCAACATTTGGCATTTTGCACCCAGACTAGCACTTGTCTTGTCTTGAAAAATTCCACCCATGTCTGGTCCTGATTTTAGTGCCCTATATTTATGTTCCTCTGTCTAATGTAGTCATATCTTATGACCTCTGGTCTTTCCATGTAGTCTGGATGGCTACCGTAATACAGTGCGGGCTGTCTGACTGAAGGGATGGACATACTATATGTATACGGGATGGGGTCAGTCATTACCCAAGGGAAGTGTAACTATGATTGAGGTCTGAGATGTTTCAGTATCTATCGAGAATTCAATATGGAGAGTCTCAACGCATGAAGGACCCTACTTACTGTTGTATATGATTAGATAGTTGAGGAATATGGGGAGGGGCATTGTGGAAAGGTCGTTAAAGTAACTTGGGATTTATTTACAAGTGTGAATAAGTCATGAAGACTATGATAAAGAAGAGACCTCTAAGAGACCTCTAATAGTAGTTTGGAATAAAGTGATTATAAGAGAGATTTATGGGGATTAGACCGATTGGGAGTGGAAATAAGAAAGAAAGAAGCAGAAAAAAATAGAGAGAAAAGGGGAAGGGGAGTGTCCAGCATTACACATGGGATGGAGTTGATGAGTGGACAATATAAGAAGGTTTTAAGCATGCATGGGAAGGAGTTTAAGCATGCATGGGATAGGCATAAGGCTATCCTAACTATAAGATAAGGCTAGGGACTAATGAAAGTTTTTAGAAAATTGGGAAGACTAGATGGGCCGAATGGTTCTTATCTGCCGTCACATTCTATGTTTCTATGTTCTATGTTTCTATGTTTCTATGTTTCTATGTTAGGTGGGAACATAATTGGTCAAAAACGTCTCACTGATATTGCACATATCTAAAACACATTGCTTTGTGGACAAAGTGGAAACATTTGTTATATCTACCATTTGCAACGTGAAAGGGTGAATAACATTTCATGGGTTATGTAATCTTATCACTGCAACTTAGGTGACTTCTTTGTTTTGTTTTTTTGTGGAATTGTATAAATATTGTTGTCTCTGATACAGCATAAGTTCAACACAGAAAGTATAATATAAAATATATTTTTATTAAAACTACAGCTCAATGTTAGGATGTTTTGTAATTGACATTTTTGTTCATCAGTTTAATATTCTTCTCCCTCCTCGCCTTCTTCTCCTCCATCCACGCTGTCAGTGCCAACTTCTTCATAATCCTTCTCCAGAGCAGCCATGTCCTCTCGGGCCTCAGAGAATTCTCCTTCCTCCATTCCTTCTCCCACATACCAGTGCACGAAGGCACGCTTGGCATACATCAGGTCAAACTTGTGGTCCAGACGAGCCCAGGCCTCGGCAATGGCTGTGGTGTTACTCAACATGCACACGGCACGCTGTACCTTGGCCAGATCTCCACCGGGTACCACAGTGGGAGGCTGGTAGTTGATACCAACCTTGAAACCAGTTGGGCACCAGTCCACAAACTGGATGGTACGCTTGGTCTTGATGGTGGCAATAGCTGCATTGACATCCTTGGGCACCACATCACCTCTGTAGAGCAAGCAGCAAGCCATGTATTTACCGTGACGGGGGTCACATTTTACCATCTGGTTGGCTGGCTCAAAGCAAGCATTTGTTATCTCAGATACAGAAAGCTGCTCATGATAAGCCTTCTCTGCAGAGATAACAGGGGCATAAGTGGCCAATGGGAAGTGGATACGGGGATAGGGCACCAGGTTGGTCTGGAACTCTGTCAAGTCCACATTTAGAGCTCCATCAAATCTAAGGGAGGCTGTGATTGATGACACAATCTGTCCAATCAGACGATTCAGGTTAGTATAGGTTGGACGCTCAATATCTAGGTTTCTGCGGCAGATATCATAAATGGCCTCATTGTCCACCATGAAAGCACAGTCAGAGTGCTCCAGTGTGGTGTGGGTGGTCAGGATGGCATTATATGGTTCAACCACAGCTGTGGAGATCTGAGGAGCTGGGTAGATGGAGAATTCCAGTTTGGACTTCTTGCCGTAGTCAACAGAGAGTCGTTCCATCAGCAGGGAGGTGAAGCCAGAGCCGGTGCCACCTCCAAAACTGTGGAAGATAAGGAAGCCCTGGAGTCCTGTGCATTGATCGGCCTAAAGAGAGACACACAAAGATATTAGACATAACATGGGCAGTTTTTAACCCGAGAATTAAAACAGTTATTGGTGACAGTCTACATTAAGCTTTGCATTGGAGATCACAAGACAACATTTTGCCAAATATCCAGTTTATGGTATATTTTTGATCCAACATTTAGAAAAAAGACATGGCAACTTGTATGTTTTTATTTAGACTGGACATGACTTACCAGCTTGCGGATTCTGTCCAGCACCAGATCGATGAGTTCCTTGCCAATAGTGTAATGACCACGGGCGTAGTTATTTGCCGCGTCTTCCTTGCCTGTTATCAGTTGTTCTGGATGGAAGAGCTGTCTGTAGGTTCCTGTCCTCACCTCATCTGTAGAGTAAGGATTAAGGTGATTAGTTGAAATCAAATTAAGTAAAATCATTTTCCAGGCTACAGTTGACCTCACTTTGTAATATGTTGGTAGTTAATGGCATTGTAAGAGTCAAAAAGTACTTGAAACATAATGAGAACCTATACTGCAGTGAGCATGATTTTTTTAGTAGGAAAAAACACATTTGTGGGATATGTTGTGTGATCACTGTGATCTGCGTGCAGGCTTATAGCTCTGTACATTGCTGCAGCTATTATTATTATATACTATTATTATTATATACTATTATTATTATAACAGAATGCGGGGAGATTGGGGCAATTTAGAATCTTTCTCTAACCAATATACAAGAAACCTATTTATAGTGTTTGGTCTGTTACTGTAATGGGATTATTGGTTGGTATCAGATTGAAGGCATTATCTGGCCATCTCAAATGATACGGCAAAAATTTTGGAATCTGGTGAAATGTGAAATTTTACGTTGAAAGTGGTTTTTGGTGGATTGAAATGTCGCCATTCTTTGGTGGTGAATTGTTCGCTGCACTAACTGACATTTTGTATTTGATGAGTTGCTTTAGTTTCTTGGTTTGGGGGATTCTACCTCATGGCACTTGGATACTAGAATATCTTCAGGTCTGTTATTACCATAAAGGTGGTTTATTACCCACCAAACACTATCCAGGGACCCTCTCACACTCACCAATGACGGTGGGCTCCAAGTCAACGAACACAGCACGGGGGACGTGTTTCCCAGCCCCAGTCTCACTGAAGAAGGTGTTGAAGGAATCATCTCCTCCACCAATGGTCTTATCACTGGGCATCTGTCCGTCCGGCTGGATTCCATGCTCCAGACAGTACAACTCCCAGCATGCATTGCCAATCTGCACTCCAGCCTGTCCAACGTGAACTGAGATACATTCCCTCTGTAGAGAAAGAAGAATGGAGTGTGAGTCGGGATATCAGATTAGGGAGATGGTGTCTTGAAAGTGAGCCGGTAAATACCATTAAATGTTCCTCAGAGACAGGAAGTCACAGACAGGACAAGATAAAGGGGGTTAATCTCTAAACAGTGAATTGAAGAAAAATAAAAAACAACTTTAGGAAAAAGAGCAGCTATAGTCTCCGCAATCTTGTCTCACCGTGTTTAAATGTTACCGATTGTTTTTTATTTGACCACAATTTGTTGTTTAGTGAATAACGCCACAGGAGAAACCATTTTTATGTCAGAGAATTAACGTTCACTAGATTAGACTCTTTTTACAGGTATATTGTGAGGTGAATTGTGGGTATTAAACCAGATTTTGTGCACATTATCATAATCTCAATCACCTAAATGTTTAACTGTCTCGGTCCAGGGGTGGCTCATCCATAGCGCCCACCAAATAATTGATTGTCACAAAAAAAATTAAAAACCTATTGCCGGTGGGTAAAAGAGTAAATTAGTCATACTGTTTGCTAGTGGATAGAGGTAACTTGCAAACTCACAGGTTCATTCAAAATAAAATGTTGTGATGCGTGACATACACTTTCCCCATCCTAATAGGTAAAAATATCCAATTACTAACACATCTAAGATGCCGCAGGCTGTTTGTGACCTCCATGTACCCAGAGAATACACAGGGCAGTACAGACTGACAGTGTGCTCCAGGTACACAGAGAATACATATGACAGTACAGACTGACAGTGAGCTCCAGGTACACAGGACAGTACAGACTGACAGTGAGCTCCAGGTACACAGAGAATACACAGGACAGGACAGACTGACAGTGAGATCCAGGTACACAGAGAATACATAGGGCAGTACAGGCTGACAGTGTGCTCCAGGTACACACTGAATACATAGGGCAGTACAGGCTGACAGTGAGCACCAGGTACACAGAGAATACAGAGAACAGTACAGCTTGACAGTGACCTCCAGGTACACAGAGAATACAGACATGGAACAGTACAGACTGACAGTGAGGTCCAGGTATACAGAGAATACAGACACGGAACAGTACAGACTGACAGTGAGCTCCAGGTACACAGAGAATACAGACATGGAACAGTACAGACTGACAGTGAACTCCAGGTACACAGAGAATACAAAGGACAATACAGACTGACAGTGAGCTCCAGGTACACAGCGAATACATAGGACAGTACAGACTGACAGTGAGCTCTAGGTATACAGAGAATACATAGGACAGTACAGACTGACATTGAGCTCCAGGTACACAGAGAATACACAGGACAGTACAGACTGATAGTGAGCTCCAGGTACACAGAGAATACTGATTCCTCTTCTGCAACTGTCACTAGTCTAATACTATCCTTACCTTTTTGTGTCATTTTACCCCACTCCCTATAGCATGTAAGCTCATTGAGCAGGGCCCTCAACCCCTCTGTTCCTGTGTGTCCAACTTGTCTGGTTACAACTACATGTCTGTTCGTCCACCCATTGTAAAGCGCTGCGGAATTTGACGGCACTCTATAAATATCATAATAATAATACACAGGACAGTACAGACTGACAGTGAGCTCCAGGTACACAGAGAATACATAGGACAGTAAAGACTGACAGTAAGCTCCAGGTAGGACAGAGAATACATAGGGCAGTACAGACTGACAGTGAGCTCCAGGTACACAGAGAATACATAGGACAGTACAGACTGACAGTGAGCTCCAGGTACACAGAGAATACACAGGACAGTACAGACTGACAGTGAGCTCCAGGTACACCGAGAATACATAGGGCAGTACAGACTGACAGTGAGATCCAGGTACACAGAGAATACACAGGGCAGTACAGACTGACAGTGAGATCCAGGTACACAGAGAATACACAGGGCAGTACAGGCTGACAGTGAGCTCCAGGTAGGTACTTACCATGATGATGTTTTGGTTGTAGTTGGTTTCTCCTGATTCCGATGAGTTATGGGGTCGGTTTTGGGAATTCTGCTATCCCCCCCCGTGTCTGACTGCTCTTTATATGATCAGTGAGTTTAGCGTCCTTAGTAACAAGGGGTGGAGGAGGGGAGTTCACACCTCCTGTCTCCAAGACAAACTCCCTCCCAGGGGGGAGGAAATGTCCCCAACTGAATAGTTACCTAGCAACCAGTCTGGTGACAATGATACAATGTGACCCCTGGGGTGGAGAGACACAGGATGGAGGGAGACATGGAGGGAAACACCAGGGGGGAGAGAGGGAACTGAGGAGGGAGATGTTTTGAGATTAACACGTTATGGCTAAAAAAAAAAATAATAATAATAAAATGTATAATTAAATGCATACATTCTTTCAATGAGGGTATATCTACTTAACATATAATATACACATTATAAATATACTTATTATATACACCGCCTGCTTTATAATATACACATATTTAATATATGATAGAGAGATAAAGAGTGTGTGTGTGTGTGTGTGTGTTACATAATTACATAGCTGAAAAGAGACTTGTGTCCATCAAGTTCAACCTTCATCACATTTGTTCTTGCTGTTGATCCAAATTTAAACCCTTCTGAAGCGCTTCCAATTTTGCCACAAACTAGGAAAAAATTCCTTCTTGACCCCAAAATAGCAGTCAGGTGGCTCCTTGGAGGGAGAGAGAGAGAGAGAGAGAGAGAGAGAGAGAGAGTGTGTGTGCATTAAAGGGTGCCCTAAAACTCAGCTTAGTGATAGACATTTAGCCCACAATGGTTGGGAATGCTACCAATCCCCTGGTGAGGAATAAAGGGGTACACACCTTCTAGTTAAGGTACAGCACCCTCCCTGGTTTGAGGTTGGTGTTTTGTACAGCCTAGTTACATCAGGTGGTAGACTGATGTACCCCCAGTGAGGTTTGGAAGATTGATTTTGGTAACCCTTGATTTGGGATTGAGTACCCCGGCACTTTCTCCCTGGTGTCATGCTTAGCTTTGGGTAATGTAGGTTTGGGTACTGTTCACAGGTGTTCGGGGTACAGATCTCTATGCACAAAGCAGGCAGTTTAAGAGTATGGGGATTGGGGAACATTTCTGTAGGTTGTGATCTAACAATCAGCTCAGCAATAACTGCTCTTAATTCTACCGGTGACTTTAACCTTCCACACCGTACTATGCCAAGCACCCCATGAGCTTACAATCTGGAGTTTACAAATTCAGACTGGTTAATGTTTAAAAACAAAATAAAGAAAACTCCAACTTGGCTATAATCACAGCCTGAATATTTTAGATATTTTACGGGGTTATTCACTAATGTCCGAATTAAAAGTGAATTTCAAATTTAAGGCCAAAGTAGCCAAACTGGATGGATTGCTGACAGCTCAGCTATTATAACCTTCAATTTGAAATTCACTTTCAATCCTCACTTTCATTATTTACCCTGTAATTTGCATTTTCGTTTTTCAATTTACTACAGCTATATGTTTAGTGGATCCCAGTGTCATCGTTACCACTAACAATGCACACTGTTACAAGGTTACCAACATTAATCAAATGCTGCATGGCTGTTATTACACGTGTGGTTGGAGTGGAGATACAGAAGATATTACACTGGTTGAATATGTTCCATTCTGTAACAGCCCTGAATTCTAACTGTGTCTTCATAGAACTTATTTTAAATTTCAAAAACTTTCTCCTCAACCTCTTTAAAATGCTTTTTTTTTTTTTTTTTAAGTCATTTTACAGGATGATCATTTTGGCAATATTATTTCGGTTTTGCCTTAGTGCATTTTCTCAGCATATCTATTAATGTATTTTTTTTTAATTAAAGTATTTTTTTTAACATGCATTCAATGCATTTGTCTGTTTTATACTGTGTTATCCAGACTCAATGTGGGGCTGAGCAATCCTGCGCTGAAAAGGTTAATATTAGTACAATTGATAAGCTGCATGCAACACAAATCATCATGGGAGGGATTACCATAACAGCCCCAAGACAAAGGCTTCTGTTTGGCTCTGTAGGCTGGGAGCCCAGAGTCAGAACACAAACAGAGTTATTTACTAACGTGTGATGCATCAACAAATCACAGCGAATTCAAAATTCATTTTAGACCAGATTTAGTTGAATTAGTTGAACTGATAACACAGCTGACTCTGAGAATTTTTCCAATTCAACTATTTGCTTTGATTTCAATGTGAATTGCTGGTAATTGGCACCTTAGTGAAAATCCTGATTGATGTGAAAGGAGAGGGACATGAGAGGGAAACTATGTCAAAGATAGGGAGATAGATAGATACAGAGAGAGAGAGAGATACAGAGACAGAGACAGATACAGAGACAGAGACAGATACAGAGAGAGAGGGAGATACAGAGAGCGATAGGTACAGAGAGAGAGAGAGATACACAGAGAGAGAGAGATACAGAGAGAGAGGGGGAGATTCAGAAAGGGGGAGAGAGAGGGGAGAGAGACAGAGAGAGGGAGATACAGATACAGAGAGAGGGAGATACAGAGAGAGAGAGAGGGAGATACAGAGAGAGAGAGAGGAGATACAGAGAGAGAGAGATGGAGATACAGAGAGAGACAGATACAGAGAGAGAGAGGGAGCTAGATACAGCGAGAGAGAGAGAGATGCAGAGAGAGGGAGATACAGAGAGAGAGGGAGATACAGAGAGAGAGGGAGAGACAGAGAGAGAGAGGGGGAGATTCAGAGAGGGGGGAGAGACAGAGAGAGGGAGATACAGAGAGAGAGGGGGGAGATACAGAGAGAGAGGAAGATTCAGAGAGGGGGAGAGAGAGAGGGGGGAGAGACAGAGAGAGGGAGATACAGATACAGAGAGAGATACAGAGAGAGAGGGAGATACAGAGAGAGAGAGAGAGAGGGAGATACAGAGAGAGAGGGAAGGAGAGAGAGAGAGAGATGGAGATACGGAGAGAGAGAGATGGAGATACAGAGAGAGACAGATACAGAGAGAGAGGGAGATAAATACAGAGAGAGACAGAGAGAGAGAGATACAGAGAGAGGGAGATACAGAGAGAGAGGGAGAGACAGAGAGGGAGATACAGAGAGAGAGAGAGGGGGAGATACAGAGAGAGGGGGGGAGATTCAGAGAGGGGGAGAAAGAGAGGGGGAGAGACAGAGAGAGGGAGATACAGAGAGAGAGATACCGAGAGAGAGAGAGAGAGAGGGAGATACAGAGAGAGATAGATACAGAGCGAGGGGGAGACAGAGAGAGGGAGAGACAGAGAGAGGGAGAGACAGAGAGAGGGAGAGACAGAGAGAGGGAGATACGGAGAGAGAGAGAGATACAGAGAGAGGGAGAGAGATACAGAGAGAGAGAGATACAGAGAGAGGGAGATACAGAGAGAGGGAGATAGATACAGAGAGAGAGAGAGAGATACAGAGAGAGAGATACAGAGAGAGGGAGATAGATACAGAGAGAGAGAGAGATACAGAGAGAGGGAGATAGACAGGATAGCAATGGTGTGATAACAACTAGAGGGAAAAGCAGAAAAATTTACAGTATATACAAACTTCCGAAATGATAAGAAAACAAAGTGTTATAAATCTGCCCAGGTGCATGCTGGGATATGTGCTTTCTAAATGTACAACAGAGTCCGCAGAATTATAAGTACTTCATAACAAATTATATTCATTGTACAGGTTATCTCCCTGTCTCCCCGCACACAGTGTATTATAACTGCAGCTATAATGTTATGGTGTAAGGAGGTTCCCTGTCTCCCCGCACACAGTGTATTATAACTGCAGCTATAATGTTATTGTAGCCCCATGTAGCCAAAGCGCAGCTAAGCGAAAAAAGGCCTTGACAGGGGTTAGGAGGCGGGCATAGGAGGAGGGAAGGAAGTAGGGAGTTATGGGTAAGTAGGCTTGGCTATTTAAATAGGCAGCCATTTTAAAGCCTTCACTCTTAATTACTACCTTGCTGAGTTTGTGTGCACTCCTGTGTCCACAGATTTGGTTTGGTGGGGTCTTTGTTTTTCTCTCCTTCTGCAGGGTCGAAGGATAACATGGAGGAGCTGTTGGAGCGGATCCGGTTGGCGGCTCAAGGACGTGGCGTGGACTGGCTGCGGGCGCAACTTGGACCAGCCCTGGCGGGTGCTGCGGATCATGAGGGCGGCGGAGGTCGGCCTGTGCGGGCTCGGAGGCCGCCGAGACGGCTGAGCCCAGGCGCCGAGTCCGGTGGAGACGGTTCCAGCGGCCGGGCGGCGGCGGGACCAGGCCGAAACGGACCCGGTAGCCGCATGGTTGAGGCTCCGCCTCCCGGCGCGTTACCGGGACGTCGGAGAAGCGGTAGCCGGCGGGAGGCTACCCGGGAGTCGGACGGTGCAGCTCCCAGTGCTGGGAGGGCTGCGCCTGGAGCGGGGGCCGCGGGAGACATCGGGCGGCCCCCTGGAACCGGTGAGGACGCGGGATTGCAGCCCGGGAGGGCATCTACTACACCCATGGCGGGGACTGGCGGGGCCGGTGCGGAAGGAGCTCGCGGACCGCCCCTGGAACAGGCAAGTGCAGGGGGTTCCGGCCGGGACCCCCTTGGCGTGAATCAGCGCAGGAGGACTGGGCACAGGGTTCAGAGTCCTGGGGGGGACGTGGGGAGGGGTCAGGTGCCTTCTAGAGCGGGGGCAGGGAGGTCTAGGGGGGAGGGTGCGCAGGGTAGTTCCAGGGTAGTGAGCTTGGAGCGAGGGCCAGTAGCCGGGAGGGTGGAAGGGCCAGGGGGTACGGCAGGGGGAAGTTTGCCATCAGGGGGGGGCAGGAGGTCGAGGTGCGCAGGGCGTTTAGGACAGGTTAGGGGTGCGGGGTCTGGGGACCGGCTGGAGGTACCGAGGGGAGGGGGTGCTTCTAGTCGGGGGGCCCGCCAGGGTGGGGGGTGGGGATTTCCCTGCGCTGGTGAGCAGATAGGTGGGCGTAGTTCTGGGGGGGGTTCAGGTTTGGGGTCAGGTGATAGCAGCCCGTCACCGGTTAGGGCCCGGGGGTCCGGGGGGTTTAAGGGAAGGGTTCGGCGTGTTAGGTCCTCATCTAGTAGCTCAGGGGGGGAGAGTGTCATGGCCCCCAGGCTGGTTACACGGGGGCGGGCCTCTGGTAGAAACGGGAGGAGTCGTAGTCCCAGAGGCAGGGCCGATCGGGCCTTGGGTGGGCGAAAAGGAGTGGTTGCGCGACGGGAGGCTCTGGTGTCCAGCGGGCGCTCTCAAGGTCGGGACGGGGGGGCTGCTCATGACCAGTATGCTCTGCCCAGGACTTCTTCTCCTCGTTACAGATCTCGGAGCCGCTCCGCATCTGATGTGGCCGGGCACCGGGTTGGCTCCCCGGTTGGAGGATCGTTAACGGATGTCGCTCATCCTGGTCAGGGGACAGTACACAACGCAGCCCCAGGAGCTTCGGGGTCGAGGGGCTTGGCCGGTGAGTCCTCTGCTTCTCTGCACTCCAGTGCATTGGTTCATACACTTCAAGCACTTCTCCACTCACTGGGAGCGGGGGGTGCCACAAAGGGCGGTGTGGGGCAGGTTTGGGCTCAGGGGGCCGGGGTGGCGGGCCCGAGCGAGGTTCCCTCCGCGGAACAGAGTTCGGGTGGGGACACTGCAGTGACGGTTACTGGGGCGGAGGCGACGAGCGAGCGGGCTGAGTTGACGGGGGGGGTGGTTCCTGATGCGGCCAGGCAACACGCATATGTGTCGTTTGCGGGTCCGCTGGGGGTCCACCTCAAACAGGAGGTGAAGGAAAAATCTGGAAGGGTGACTTCTGCGAGATCTTTTCTCTTCTCCCTTTGGAGGATTTTATTGATCTCAAAGAGGACGATAAAAAAGATGAGAAGAAGGAGGAGGAAGAGAAGAAGAAGCGGTATCGTAAGATTCCCAAGTCTTTCGGTAACTGGCTGAGGGCCTTTTGCGTGTTGGCCAGTGTTCTGGGCGAGAAATCGCCGGGCCTGTGCTCCTCTCTGTTTTGTTATTTGGATGGCATTTGGGAGGCGTATCGCACCTATGGCGGACTGGCATGGTGGCGGTACGACGAGCAATTCCGGCAGCGTTTGGCGGCTAATCCGGGTATGCGGTGGGATCAAATGGACCTGCCTCTCTGGATGAAGCTGATGATGGCGCAAAAAGCGCAGCCATTTCAGCCCACGGCCGGCGCAAAGGGGCAGTCCGCCTCGTCGGCCGCCATGCAAAAGGGCTTCTGCTGGCTCTTTAACGAGGGCCAGTGCAAATGGGAAAACGCCTGTCGCTTTAAGCACGAGTGTTCGGGCTGCGGAGGCGCGCATGGGCTCAACCGGTGCTTCAAAAAAGGGAAGTCGGGGCACACCGGGGTCCCTACCTCGGCTGGGGGGGGAGGGGGAGTTTCGCTTGCCCCGGGGCCTAACCCCGGTGAGGCTAGACGCGATGGAGCCGTGGCTAAGCCGCTACGGTAATAAGGCAGATGCCGTGGCGCTCCGGGCGGGGTTTGGTCAGGGGTTCTTTATCCCTTTCCGGAACCGGGGGGGGACTGGGGTTCGGCGCAACCTTAAATCGGTGGCTGAGTTCCCGGGTGTGGTGCGGGAAAAACTGGGCAAGGAAGTCAAATTGGGGAGGATGGCAGGGCCGTTCCCGGCTCCTCCATTGGAGGGTCTGCGGGTTTCCCCGCTCGGGGTGGTTCCCAAGAAGGAACCGGGCATATTCAGGCTCATTCACCACCTCTCCTACCCGGAAGGAGAGTCGGTGAATGATGATATTGACAAGGACTTGTGCTCGGTCTCATACGCATCATTCGACAGGGCGGTCGAGCTGGTAAGGAAGGCCGGGCGCGGAGCACTGTTGGCTAAGGTGGATATTGAAGCAGCGTTTCGGCTGCTTCCGGTCCACCCAGCGTGTCATCACTTGCTGGGGTGTTTCTTCGACGGGGGGTA